TTTGATTTTTTCTTCCAGATCAATAAGCAATAATAAAGATATAATTAAATATATTTTTTATATTTTATATACTATAAATTTTATAAATGAATTATATTAGTATCAATTCAGAATACTTGCTCTACTAATAAAGCTACAAATTAATTACTTAGAATGAAATCTAAAGAACTAATGCTATGATTATATAAAATAAATCAGATATAAAATCTTGCTTATACTTTATATAATTTATATTAAGAAAAGATATGTTTATAAAATATATAAGAAACTAAGCTAATTCATCTTTATTTTACAAGCTATTAATATAAAAATATGTATTATCTTAGTAAACTGATTTTAAGATATAGAGTAATTTAAATTATAATTTTTTATAATATGAAATTCATATAATTTCAAGCAAGTAATTATAATCTATAATTACAAAATCTCTTTAAAAGAGAGATGCTTTATATTTTAACTATACTAATTTTATTATTATCTAATTTTAAATTACAAATCATATAAATTTATTAAAATATTTTTGATTACTTCTGATTTTTTACTACTTATTAACTTTATACTAATTCAAATAATATTTTTATATATCATAATCAAATATAATTTAGAAGTATTAAAAATTAATTTAATATAAAAATAACTTTTTCTCTCAAAAAATAATAAAAAATTATTTTTGATTTATCTAAAATTATAAGATATTTTGATTATAATATTTATAAAATTCAAGATAAGATCACAAGAAGTAATAATAATAGATCTGATATATTTAAATTATCTTAAAATTATATTAATACTATTTTTAATCTTTAAGAAAATATTAATATTTTGTTTAAAGAAAAGAAAACTCATAAAAAGTGATCTATAACAAGATTATATCTAAAGATAATTGAGAAAATTCAGAAGCCTGCTATTAATCATAAAAAAAAAGTAGTAATCAATAATATTATTATTAGAAATTTTCATTTAAAAATCTGAAAGAAAATATCTGAATTTATTAAAATTATAAGTATTAAAATAAAATGAAGAGATAGATATAAATCAAAAAATAAAAATAAAGAAAAAATAAATTATAATAGCTAATATGAAATAGAAAAAGAAATTATTATTTTTACTATATAAAAGATTTAGAATCTGATAAATATTTATATTTTATTTTTTCTTTTAATTATATTCTTATTTATATAGATTGGTCTTTATAATTTAATATAAAAAATATTAATTTTATAATAATATTAATAAAAAAAGTAAAAAAAAATCTGAAGTTAACTTATATTTTTATTAATTATTATTAATTATACTTTTATTATTACTATTAGAATTGAATTTTGATATTTATTTATATAATAATTAAAATAATAAGTTTTTTTACTATAATATTCATTACTATTTCAAAAACTTTTTATATAATTTCTTATAATTTCTTTTTTATAATTTTTATTATATAAAAGGCAAAATATTGATTTATTAAAATTAAAGTAATTATTTTTAAAGTTATATTTTAAAGTTAAATAAGAAAATTACTTTAATATCATATTAATAATATATTATTATCTTTTTTCTGAATCTTTAGATAAAATAAAAATTGAGAATTATTATTTAGATAATATAAATTAAATATTTATTTATAATATAAATAAAATCTTTTTCTTAGTATTCTTTTTAATTTATAAAAATTTAGAAATTTTAGACTTTATTTAAAAATCAAGTTCAGTTTTTTTATATATTCTTTACATAAGCTTGAATAAATTTTATCTATCAAAAAACTTGATAAATTAACTAATTTAACATATTATTTATAGTAGTTATCAGTTAATATTTTAGATAAATAATCTTCTTGTAAAATAATATTAGAAAATATATTATTATTTATATGAATATAAATTAATTTAAAATTATATAACTATCAAAAAAAAATCTTTTATGAAGTAATATTTAATAAATTTTAATCATCTTTATCTTTTGGAGAAAGTATATTTCATATATTAGTAAAGATAATATAACTTATATTATTATCTTGATTTCATATCTTTTATATTAATAAAATAAGATCTGATTTCATATCTATCTCTTATATTTTTCTTATTTTTATAACTTAACTTATATATTGGATATAATGACTTATTAATAATTCTATAATAAACAAATTTTTTACTATTAAATTCTTTATATATATCAAAATATTAATCTAATATTTTATTATAAAAATAATTATGATTATAAGCTGAATTAGCTAAAAATATAAATAATATACTTGTATTAATTTCTGACTTATATTTCTCTTTTAATAATATTCTGAATGTGAAAAGATATTAAATTAAGATATTAATAGTATAATTATAGAAGAATTCAAGATTTGTAATGTAAATAATTCAGATATATTACTCTAATTATAATATTTTATCATAGTTTTTAGTATTCTATATTTGTATATATATACTAAATTTATTTAATTTATAATATATTAAATTTAAATATTTTTTAATTTTAAAATAATACTTATACTATATATAATATACTTGATTTTATCTATACTTACTTCTTTTTTATCAAATAGCTTAAGATTTTTTCAAGTTCTTTTAGTTTTCTTATGCAAATTTATATCTGTAATATTAGATAGAAAAGATTTTATTTTCTTATATATTTTTGATCTTGCTATTTTATTTTTAATTTTGTTATCTATTGTAAGACTTTTAATCTTATTTTTAAATTCTAAAGAATAATAATACCAATATAAAATTCTGATTTAATTACTTTATTAAATAAGTTTAATAAACTTTATACAGAGCTTTATATATAAAACTTACTGTTATTCAAAGATGTGAAGTTGATATTAGAGAAAATAACACTTTGTACTTGATTACAGATCATTTTTTGTAAAAAATCTTCTATGATTTGATTATCAGATTCAGATATTTTAATGAAAATAGTATCAAAATTATCAAGAGCATAATTTTGATCATGATATTTTATTATGATTTTTATATTATATAATAATAGAGATATTATTTTTTCAGATTCTATTTGATTAAGTAAAGATAAGTCTTAATTCTGAAGCTTTTTTTCTTTGTTTCTCTATTTTATTTTATTACTAATTTTTTGCTTATTTTCTGAATCTAAAAAGTTATCAATCTTCTTATCCTCTAATAATTTAGTTTCTGTGCAGATAGATGATGCAGAGTCTTGAGTTTTCAATTCCTAATATATGCCAAAATTAGATGCACTATCAGATATATTTTCTGGTTCTTTAGGAACATCTCTCTGAGACATATGCTTGGGAGTTACAGATGTAATATTAGTAGTTATAGAGTTATTTATTTCACATAAGACAAAGTCTCTTTATCAGAGTGATCTTTAATAAGTAAAGAAGTTACTTGTAATTCTGAATAATCTAAGGAATTGGAGATTTGACAACTATAGTTGTCCTATATATTAGTAATTGCTTAAATTCGCTTTTTGATTTCCTTGAAATCATATTCTAATTTAGTTACTTTGGCTTTAAGCTGAGTATTCTCTTCCATAGCATATTCTAATTCTGCAATTCTAGTCTCAAACTCTTTTTTTTCTTTCATAATATGTTCTAATTCTGTGATTCTAGTCATAAGTCTGGCATTCTCTTGTTTCAATAATTCTAGTTTGTGTCCTATTATTTTATATAAGATACAAATATATTCAAAAGTTTGCATATGTCTACCTTCAGATACTCACTATTATAATTATCAGATTAAATATTATGTATAGAAAACCATGACAAAATATTGTGATGGTAAAAATTTTAGTAAAGTAGGCATGATCAAAAAATTCTTGATCATATATAGACATCAATACTCATATAATAAAATAAAATCCAAAAATAATGTATATAAAGAATAAATATGATTATGTATGTGAAATTCAACTTCACATATAGCAAACACATGTTAAATATAAAGCCCAAAATATAGCAAACTTTATTTTTTTTTAGAACATAAAAAATACAATATATTTGCAATGAGAGGAATAATTAGATCCAAAGCTCTGGTGAAATTATTATTATTCCTATTACTAAGATGCTAATATTATTTCTTCTAACCCTGCTTTTATTAATAAAGTTGAAGTCCATAATTCTACTACATAGATTTAAGCCAGCCAAATACATTATACAGTTTCAATCTTTTCTAGCTAATCATCATTTGCAAACCACTGAAATTTTAAACTTTGTTAAGATATATTATATACAAAAAACAAATATATATTAATTAGTTATAAATAATCACCTTTCTAAATATATCTTTTATCCGATCAAGAGCAACTAAAGCAATTGGTCGATTATCTGGATTACTATTACACAAATCTATGCAGAAGCTTAAAAGTTCTTGAGGAATGTCTTTAATATTACATGAACCAACTAAATTCCTAATGCCCTATATATCAGCCTTAAAATTATGCTTTTTAATTAGCATTTCAGGGGCATGATTAATTTCAGAAAATTCTTTCAAAGACTTGTCAAAAAGAGAAAAGTTAGCATAGTTAAAGTCAATTAAAATAAATTTTTGATATCCATCATAATGACAAATAATATTTGGCCATCAAATATCTCTGTGCATTATCAGTCTGGACTTAATTTCATGTATATCCTATTTGAATATTATAAAAATGTATAAATATAATATAATACATAATAGTAAAAATATTATATTTATATCAAATGTTACCTTCAAATAAGTTAGTATACAAATTAATACTTGCAGTAATTCTTTAAGATCATTTAGTTCATGTTATTCTCCATCTGGTATCAAATTAACAGAATGTGTAGATGAATATTCAATTTATCAGAAAATCTAACATTATTTACCTATATAAATAATTAGAATATGCCCTAAAAACTTGAATCTTTTGAAAATTATTGAACTTACACTTAATATTCCATAAATTTCTTTTAAATAAGTAACTCACTTTTTATTCACAAATTTTTTCTTAATTATATATTCAAGCTCAATAATAGTTTTATTTTGTCAAGAAATTGTTTAAAATTCTGGCAATTTTCTTGGAGGGTATAAATTTGCTACAAGTAGTAATAGATAATCTAAATAAAATAAATTAGTATTTTATGATCTATAATAATTTAAAGCTCATAAAGGCACTTATAAATATTTCAAAGGAAATTTATGATGTGAATTCTATCTGATAAATACTCTAAATCAAATTCTGTAATCTGTTCAGAATAAATGCTCAGTTTTCTTTTTTTAGTTGACTTATTTTCAAACTTATGCAAAATAACAAATGTGATATAGATACCAACAGCATAATATGCAAAGATGTATGATGCATCTCTATAGGTCCAATCATTGAATTTATCCACTAATTCTTTTGAAGGATCTCCTATATCTTCGTGAGGCTTTTCTTCACCTTGAAAAAGACAAGTATTTCTTATTAATACAACCATATTTGGACAATTATAACTTATGAATTTTTTGTTAATAAAAATTATACTAATTATTCGCTACTACTTAATTTATCTGTTGAGGTTCATTTACTAGTATTATAATCAAATTTCAGTATTGGCAAACTCATATTATGCTTTCCAAACATCTCTAACGTATTTTTAATAATACTATTTCATAAATCATGATATGAGTCTTCAGTTATTCCATATGAAGAAGGGTAAATTAACTACTCTATAAGTTTTACATAAAAAAATGAACACTTCACTTCTGTACTTAATATAAAATATATATCTCATTCTTCTTCAGTTATACTATCTGGACCTGTAGTACTAATTTGGTAAAAATAAGTATGAGAAAATGGTATTTTTACTGAAGAATTTTTGTTAAGGAAATTTGCCAAGTCAGATTTATGAGGAAGTTGATCAGGACTTTGAATTAATTATTTTATTATTTTAATGGAAATATCTATAATAATGAAGTATTACAAGAATATTAGAATAAGTGTGGAGTGAAAAAAAAGAAAAATTAGGAAAATTAGAACTTACCTTTCAGTATTACTAATATGGCAGAGATAGTACACATAAGTTGGTTATTTTTTTTTCATATTTGATAGCAGTAAAGAAAAAATAATAGATAGTTATTTCCATATTTCTTAAGAATATAACGCCTTTTGTGAGTAGGGGTACATAAATTAACAAATCTTGAAGCTTTTGCTCTGATGTAAATATTCTCTGCAACTCTTCCACCTGTTTCTTACACATTCTGATATCATCCTCCAGCCTTTTTTCCTTCTTTTCTAGCTTTTTCTTCTCTTCCTTCCACTTCTGCTGCTGCGTCACAGTTTCTTCTCCTCTCCATAACTTTATTTTCAACTTTGCAAGCCATTGCCTATCATCTTCCCCCTTGAACTCTTGCAATTTATTTTCTGCCTTCAACAGCTGCTCCTTCACTTCCTTTAACTCTTCTTTTAGTTCTTGAGTAGTTGCTATTTTTTGTTTATTGATAAAAAGATATGTGTGATGTTAATATACTAACACTGATCAGTAACTTAATCAATAATGTAACTCTCTCTTAGATAAATTTGGATCTAATTATCAACAGAGTGTGTAATTTTGCATGGTGCTGAATAAAAAATAAACTTTTCTACTTCCTTATTATTTTAATCACTATAATAAATTCATCCCTTCCTTATTACTCGCTAATCATCTAATATGCTATTCATCACTCTACACTCACTAACAAGTCCATTATTTTTTTGTTTTGCTATTTGCTCTTTAAAATCAGTCAAATTCACTATGTGGCTGCAAAATTAAAGATAATTTTTTTAAAAAAAGTATTCTTGTGTGATGGAGGGATATATAGATGATAATGTTTATTTACAAAATAAATAAAGATCCAGATCAGTGAATTGAAGTGGAAGTTAAATAATAATAATTACATAATGATCACTCAAAGTTATTCATCACAATGATGTAAGTAGTTTTTATTGAAGAAAATTATAAATTAGAAATAAAATTATTGCTAATTGATAAAACTTTTATAATCGTCAAAATATAATAAATGATTAAAGTATATCCTATATATCTTTGATCAGTATAATAAGTAGTCATGATTCTTTACTGATTATAATAAGTTATTTACTTAAAAAAATTATACTTAAAATAACCTTAATTCTTAAAACAATAATTGTCATAATACTGTACAAACAATTATACTTAAAATGAAACTAATGTTATTTGTAATGAAATAAAAAAAATTATAGAAGTGTAAAATAAAAATTAATTAGAAAAATAGTATTTAATTTAAGAGAGACCTAAATTTGTTCTTAAATTTTCAATAAATGATACCATTTGTGTGATATCTCCTCTCTCTTCAATCCTCTAATAAAGATCTCATATTTTTTTTATTAACTTATTTACAGTTCATCATCAACCCTCTGCTACTCTTTCAGATTTCTCCAATATCTGTACTCTTAATAGTAAATCATCATAATACATGTAAATTTCAAATTCACTCTCTTTAAAAATTTGCTAGAATTGATTCTAGACATTAATAATTAAAAGTTTTCTGATGCTATACATATACTCGTGAAAGATATGTTAGCAGGGTATTCGATATTTACAAAAGAATAGATAATGACAGTTAGATGATACCAACTCAGATATGACTTTACCTTTTTTCATTCTTTTTTCTATAACATAAACTTCAATAATTTTTTGTTGTATTGGGAATAGGAACTTATTTACTTCTTTGAGAATTTTATAATTGATCCAAATAACCAAAACTTTTTTAGTACAGAACTCGAATGTAGCATACTTAGCATCTGATCACTTTTTCATATTAAGTTTAACAACTTGATGGCATGAATCTGAAAAGAAGTTGATAACACAATCACATAACAAAATATGATTGGATGATAAAACACAATTGCATAATAATATGTAATTACGCAATGAGATATGATCAGATAATGAAACTTGAATGCATAATGAAATATAACTATGCAATAAAATATGATTAGATAATGAATATGATCACAAAATGTAATAATTATGTAATGAATAATGAACAAAATATTAGAAACTCTAATTATACCAATTAAACTGTACTGAGGAGATGATATTAATTTTAATTCACTATGGTATGACTCTTAAATATTTGTTGAAGTTAATTGCAAAAGAATAGAAGAATACTGTCAAGCCCAGAGTCTACTAATGTGTATTTCACGTATAATATCTTATGATATACTGTTATATGAAGATGACCAGGTATTGATGAATTGCTTCTTGGATAATATCATCACAACTAATCTTTGATGTTCTGTGCATTGCTTAGATCATCTTGTCACAGATTTTGCATCATAGATTCAAGTTTTCATAATGTGCACAGTACAGAAGATAATATCACATTCTTTTTGAGAACTCAGAAATGTGATTGCGATACTATTTGCTTTGATATTGCTTTGATTAGTGAGAAAATATCATGATTTCTCAGTCTTGTACAAATTATCGAATTATGATTAATACCTCTGCCATCATATTACTATCTTTATTACTTACGAAGAAATATGATCTTACATCTTAATACTCATAACTGTCATGAATATATAATGTAAATAAATGCCAGTCGTATTTATTAGTATTATAGGTAGAATTGATAGGAATCAGTCAACTAAAATATTAGTTTTTTGACTTGTTTGGAATGCATAAAATAAAACCTTTGGAGAATCATTAAAAAATTTTGTAGTGCTTGACATGATATTTTTATTTTTTTAAAAAGGAACTGCATTATTGATATCTGCTTCTAGCTTGAGATTATCAAAAAGCTTGATATTGTGGGATTGGTGAATTTTATACTTGATGTTAATTACCTCTCTAGGGATAGTTAAAAGTAAGAGTACATTTTTTTTTACAAGATGATAAATATGTGAATTCAATGCACATGGTAAATAAGAAGAGAGAAAATAAAAAAATTTTTTGTTCAGCATCATGGCAAAAATACAATAAAGCTCTTGTTAATAATCTTATTGATAGTAAAGAATATTTCATAAATTCTGGCATAATTTACTTTGAATTATATAATAATTTTAACATAACTTTTGTTCTCCATCTCGTTTAAATTTAGTTTCTTCTTGGAATAGTTATCTAATGATCCATCTAACCAGATTGCTTTATAAATTGATCCAAAATCTCCTTTTGCAAGAAATTTAACATTAGTAAATTTTTCAAAAGAAATCCATTTAAATATATTTTTATTTTTATAATTAATTTTATTAATTTCTTTTATTAAGTTATTGATATTTTTATCTCCGCTAGCCAATTCATCATTATACATTCATTTGATATTTGAAATAGTCATTATAGCTAGAATAATTTTCTTGACATCTCTCAGATTCATGAGTATCTATTCTTTTGACATTCAGTATATTTATTACACGGATGAATATTTGATTTCATCTTGAGTAAATTAGTTAAATATCTTTTTCAAATCAGTTATAGTATTCCTGAAGAGAACTCCCATTAATAAGAATTTTTATTGCATATTAGAGCTCTAGTATGTATAAATCTAGGATACCATTATTGATAAATAACTTATCCATTTCTACAGATATTGTTATATTTTCTGGACGATAATCATATATTGTATAGTATAATTCAACTTGCCACATACTTTTTAAAAGCCTTCTTCTATCTTTAGATTTATTACAATTATTTTTCAAGATATTTGAGTTGATGTTAGATAATGCATTTTTGACTAATTTATGTAAATTTTTATTATCAGATAGTGATAATAGTAGCGATAATGATAGTTATGATAATGGCAATGATAGAAATGATGATGTTGCTATTGAAAATTGATACTATTAATAAAGAATGAAAAAAGTATTAGTTTTTTTTTAAAAAATATTAATTAGAATTATTTATCAATTTTTTCTCAGAAAAAAACTAAAAGCATATCCATTTGATATGGATCAGTTCTTAGCAAACTGAAAATAAGAGATAGATTAGTATGCTATTAAAAAAATTGAAAGCACATCCATTTGATGTGGGTCAGTTTTTAGCAAACTGAAAATAAGAGATGGATCAGTATGTTATTAAAAAAACTGAAAGCACATCTATTTGATATGGGTCAGTTCTTAGCAATCTGAAAACAAGAGATGGATCAGTATGCTATTATCATTAGATTTCATTTAATTTACCATGAAAATTTAAATTATTCATTATAAATATTAAATTTTTTATTCTATTTATAAAAAAAGATCAATCTACATTTATAGCACGTGGCAATAAATTTTTTTTCAGTATCTGTATTATTATCTTTTATGATATCATTGAGCTGTCTTATATAATTTCTATAGATTATTATATCATCTTCATATCTGAGAATGCATATGAACAAAGTCAAATGAATCATAATTCTATTATTACATTAAAGATAGTAAAAAGTATTTTTTTATGCATGGATCTAATTTTATTTTATTAGATGGTTCTCGTTTTAA